AAAAAAAAATACTGTTTCAGTAAAATAGGCCTTGGGGAGCTGTCCCTCAGAGAACTGTCCCTTGGGGGGAGCTGTCCCTCGGGAAGGACTACAGTGCTCACCTCTGTTCCTCGCCTTCAGGGGCTGCAGTGAACCTTAGCCTGGTCACCCCAGAGAAGGCCATCAAGCTGGCAGCCAACGACTTCTTCCGGGACCTGCTCATGGAAGATGGGTATGGCCAGGCTGCAGCAGGCCAGAGATCTTGCGCTGTGTGACTCCTGTGTTTTGGGAGAGGATAGAAAATATGCCTCAGTTTACCTGCCTGTACATGTTTAAAGACAGGTAGACGTAAAGGAAGAGAATGCGTGAGTGTAATTTGGGAGCTGGGCCAAGTCTGCAGGTGAGACTGCAGAAACACACAGTAGGCAGATTCATCCACTAGCTGGTGAATTTTTCATTCATCCCCTGCACATTTTCTAGCTCTATTTTCCCACTGCCCAGTGAGAGGACGTGAGGGGCTAGACAGAATCCGAGCCACACTGCCGGCAGCTGTGTCCCTCTGCCAGCAGCTGTGTCCCTCTGCCGTCACCGGCTTCCCACTTGTAAGCAGCTTCTGATTGACAATTAGCCTCAGGTCTTTAAAGAGACTGAGGGGGCTGGTGAGATGGCTCAGTGGTCTAAAGCACTTACTTAGAGCAAGCTTATAGCAAAGCACAGGGACCGCGGTTCAATCCCCCAGCACCACATGCCAGCCAGCCCCGCCCCCTGGTGGGCTGAGCTGGCCACACACACACATACACACAAATAAATTTAAAAAAAAAAATTATAAAGAGACTGAGGCTAAGTGCCAGCTGATTAGTGACCCAGCTGGGCAGGTGGCAGCCAGTGGTGATGGGGACAAGGTTCCCATTGGTAGAAAGCGAGGCTGCCTAAGAGGGTCCATGAGCCAGCAGGTGGCAAGGCTGGCGTGGCCCTGAAGGAGCCTTACGGTCCCACAGGAGGCAGCGGAACCTGAAGATGGAGATGCTAGCCGGATGCGGGGCTGGAATGTGCCAGGTGGTGGTCACCTGTCCCATGGAAATGCTCAAGATTCAGCTGCAGGATGCTGGACGCGTGGGTGAGGCCTACCCCAACCTCGCCTGTGGTCAGTAAAGACTAGAACAGGCCACCCCCAGCCTCCCGCCCGCCCTGCCCAGCCGATCCATCCTCCCTGTGGGTGGGTCGGGTCGGCTCCTCCGTCAGTGGGAGCCTTTAGCCTCTCAACTCTCCCAGGTCTAGGACAAGCAGCAGAAATGAGAACCGTTCAAGAGGGACAGAGAGTGCTTGCACGTGGCACCTCTGTTGCTGTTGCCTTGACATTTGTGCGGACTCCCTGAGCGCTCAAGTAGGGGCTGTGAGCTGCCCATGGCTTCTTCAGGCAGTAGATATTTCATGCTGTAGAAATTTGCTTTTAAGAGGGAAGGCATTAAAAGGGAGAAGAGGAACATTCCTATTTCTTTGGTTTTCCCTAGAAGAGGGGTTTGCCCCTTTCTTGGCCCTGATCCTCTCAGAAATAGAGAAGAAGGTACCAATGCGTGTAGAGAGGCCTCACCTCAGGGCGCCATCGGTCTCCATGGAATAGGCTCCTGGGGCCTGGCTTGGGGTGGGCCCCTCTGTTCCACTGCACCTTGCTCAGCTAGGTGGGCCAGCTCTGAAGCCCGTACCTTTCCTTCCCTCCCTCCATCCCTTCCTTCTTTTGTCTGTCTGTCTGCCTTCCTTCTTTTGTCTGTGTCTGTCTGTCTGCCTGACTGCCTGTGTCTCTCTGTTTCTTTCTTTCTTTTCCTTTTTTGGTAGAACCGGGGATTGAACTCAGGCCCTTGCGCTTGCCAGGGAAGCGCTTATTCCACTGAGCCACCTCCTCAGCCCCTTCCCTGTTTCTATCTACAAAGAGCAAGAGTCCTTAAGGGCAGCTTGTCCACCTGTGCAAAAAGCGCTAGTGCTCCTAAAACACCTTAGAGACATTTCCCCTACTGGTGATGGAGCCGGGACCTCTGTGCCAGGCTACATTCCTGCCCATTTTGTATTTTCAGACAGGGTCTAAGTTGCCCATGTTGGGCTTGCCTCTGAGCTGTGCCGGGGTACAGCTGACTCACCTGGGGGCTACGATCAGGGAGGGTTTTGAGGTGCCCGCTGGGGCCTGGGCTGAGATGGAGCCTGTCTTCCTTTGCAGCGGGGTGCCCCCAGGGCTTGGCCGCAGAGCCCGCATCCTCCAGGTCCTACAGCACGGGCTCAGCTCCTGCCCACAAGCGCCCCTCTGCCACCCTCATTGCCTGGGAGCTGCTGCGTGCGCAGGGCCTGGCTGGCCTCTACAAAGGCCTGGGGGCCACAGTGCTCAGGTGAGCCTGCTCCCGTGCGTGCGCACCCTGGGGCCGAGTCTTGGGGTGGGCGGGCACTGCCACTTGCTTTCGGGCGCTCCAGGCTGGGTTGGCAGGCCATTCCCAGTTTCCTGCCACACACAGCAGCCAAGGGCACGCAGAGAGGGCACCTGGGAGACTAAGGCTTTAGGAGCCTCCTGCGATGACCAGGACACAAGTGCTGGCTGTGTGGAGGCCAAAGGCACCTAGGAGGATGTGAGCACTCCCCCACCTATGTCGCTCAGCCCACACCCCCTCGTGACACGTGTCTTACTAGCTCCCCAGTGGCAGCTGCAGGGGATGGTGGGGGCGCACGAAGCCCCCTCCTGTTGCGCACCGCCCCTGCATCACCACAGGTGCCCAGCAGTGAAGCGCCCGCTATGCTCGCAGCTTCCCGGGAGCTGGAGGGAGCGAGCCCGGCTCAGTGCTGCTTCCCCCCACAGAGACATTCCCTTCTCCATCATCTACTTCCCGCTCTTCGCCAACCTCAACAACCTGGGAGTCAGCGAGCACACGGGGAAGGCGTCCTTTGTCCATTCCTTCGGGGCTGGCTGTGTGGCAGGCTCTGTGGCTGCTGTCGCCGTCACGCCCCTGGATGGTAGGTGAGCCGAGGGCGGGACTGCACAAGCACAGCGGGCTGTGGCACAGACCCACAGCACCCTGGGGCCGACAGCACTTAGGGTCTGCACAGACAAGCGGGCCGAGAATGTCACTGTCACTGACGATTCCCCCCACTTGGGCAAGGTGCTCATGCCAGTAGTCTTAGTACTTTGGGAGGCTGAGGCGGGAGGATTGTAAGTTTGAACTCAAGCCAGTCAATTTAGCAACTGTCTCGAAAGAAAGAAAGAAAGCCAAGAAAAGAAGGAAAAGGAAAGGAAAGGAAAGGAAAGGAAAGGAAAGGAAAGGAAAGGAAAGGAAAGGAAAGGAAAGGAAAGGAAAGGAAAAAGGAAAGGAAAGGAAAGGAAAGAAAAAGGAAAAGAAAAACAGCAGGGGATGCAGGCCTGAAACACAGCTCTATGTGAAGGTTCTGTATGCAAATCCAAGTCACACAAAAAGAAAAAACCAAAAAAAGACAAGACACCCCCTCCACTCTTAGACGCTGACCTCCTTAGCTCCGAGCCCCCAGCCCCCCAGCCAGGGTGGCTTCTGCAGCAGGGGCGGCCTGCACGATCTGGGGATTCTAGTGTCCTCCGTGACCGAGCTGGCTGCGCAGGCCCACCCTGTCTGGGCTGGCTCTCCCCGTGTGGGGGACACCAGAAGTGAGGTGTTCATGGTGTATATTTAACTTTCTGCTCCCTTTAGTTCTGAAAACTCGGATCCAAACCCTCAAGAAAGGCCTGGGTGAAGAGAGCTACAGCGGGGTACTGGACTGTGCCAGGTGAGCCCCGCCCCTGCCCATACCTGTTTGGTTGCCCAGCTCTTTGTTTTTTTGTTTCCTTGAGACAAAGACTCACTTTGTAGCCCAGGTGGTGACCCTCCTGCCTCAGCCTCCCCAGTGCTGGGATTACAGGAGTGCACCACCATGCCCAAAAGAGTCTCAAGGTTTTGTTTTTTTTTAAAATCTGTCCCTTTCTCTCATCTCTGAGAGGAAGAGTATCTGGGGAGCTCTTCGCTCTCCCCGAATGCAGTCAACCAGGCCTTGCCAGCCACCCTGGCATCGCGGGAAGGGAGGTTTCGTCCAGTCTGGGCAAGCGCCGCCTCCTCATGAAGGGGCACTGAGGGACGCCACCTGGTGTGCACCTGCCAGCTCACTGGCTCCTCCTCCTCCTCCTCCTCCCCAGGAAGCTCTGGACCCGGGAGGGACCTGCAGCCTTCATGAAGGGCGCAGGCTGCCGCGCCCTCGTCGTCGCGCCCCTCTTCGGCATAGCCCAAGGCATCTACTTCCTGGGCATTGGGGAGCGCATCTTACGGAGCCTAGAGTAACCCTGGCAGGCGCCAAGTGCCCCGCTTGCTTCAACCTTGCTAGTTCGCGTGCCTTCGTCTAGAGGGGGTGACCGGAGGGAGGCCAATGCCCTGCTGCTCAGGATCAGAAGTGGCCCCACCCCAGCAGGAACCCAGTAGGAACGGTGTTAGCACCCTCCCACTCTAGGACAGCTGCAAGGGACACCCAGAGGCCCCTTAGCAGTGCCACCCTGGGTTGCTCTCCCACGCTCTTCTCCACCGGACTGGCTGAAAGGGCCTTTCCGTATTTTAACACTGCGCTTCCACACTCAGGCTCAGTGTGCCCGGGTCGGCATGAGGATTAGTGTCTCTAATCTTGAGTTACTAGCTTGCGGTTAGTCCTAGCACAGATGTTCAGGAGAGGCATCGGGGACCCAAGGGGACCAGGGCCAGTGCCTGGCTTGAGACAGGCACCCCGACGGGCACCACAGACCCGGCCAGGCCCAGCCCTCCCGATGACCTCCGTGGGGCTCTGGCTGAAATAAAGCCCTGTGAGGAACCCTGTGCTGTCTTCCTTTGTCCACTCGCCTCTGAACGGAACTAGTCTGTGGGCCCTGTAGTGGGGCACTGTCATGCTGTGTGTTCTCACTCAGGGGGATGGAGGATACTCAGAGGGATGCTAATTTTACTCCAGGTTTTGGAGGCTTGCTACCCTTTATTATTTTTTGTATTTAGTACAGGGTCTCACTACACAGATCTGACTCATAGTGATCCTGTTTTCAGCCTCCCAAGCACTGGGATTACAGGCTTGTGCCACCACACCCAGTCTCAATCACTGTCCCAGCGCAACCCAGGGGCGGGTCCGACACAGCACACTGGGGATAGAACCCAGTTCCCGCATCTGCCTAATCCGCTGAGCTATCTGGCCTGCCCTTGTATAACTTTTGTACAGGGAATCCAATTCAGGATGTCGCGCTAGCCAGGCAGGTGCTGTGCGGCTGAGCCTCATCATGAGGAGCTAGCTCTGCCGTGACAGCATCCTCCTCAGGATCCTAATGCCTCAAGAGGCCGCTTCAGGGAGAGAGAATGTCACACAAAGGAATTGAGTCCCCAGGGAACAATACCTGTTCCAAGAGCAGGGACCTAAATTAGTGCCCTCCAAACCTAAAGCTAGTGACTGAGGGAGCATGCAGTGCCCCAGTGGTCACCTTTGGTAACTGCACTCTCGGAGGATGCCTGGGGCCCTGGCTCTCGAGATGGACGCCCAGGGCTCAGCGCTGACCCTGGAAGCTCTCAGCTGCTGAGGACCAAAGAATGGAGGAGGAAGAAAACTGTACAATGATTCTGCCCCTGCAGATAACTTTCCCCAGGAGGCTGGCTGCCTTTTTACACCACCCAAACTAACTGAACTCCACAGGGCTGGGTGCAGCATGAAGCTACACTGAGGGAACCTCGACTATCAAGAGAAACAAACACTGCAAACTCTTCTGGGAGTAGAAGCTGAACAGCTATGCAGAGGAGGAAGGGACCAGGAAGAACTTGGGGTGACGGCCTGGTGCAATGCAGGGAGGCCCTACGGACACGAGAGGATGCATGCTTCCTTGGGGGAACTGGGGCCTCGCTGTGCTGCCCAGGCAGGCCCCGGGCTCTGCTTGAGCGCTCCTGCTGCCTCAGCCTCCGGCGCAGATAGGACTGGGTGCCTGCCACCGTGCTGGCAGAACACTCTCGCTCAAACCACAAACCTAGTCACTTACGCGAGACATCACAATTAAACCCACATAAACCTTTCATTTTAATAAATAATCTATGGGTAAGCTTTTAAATCACACTTACAGATGAGGAACGCTTCTAGGCCCAAGCAGGTATTGGTGCGGTGAAGAGTGCAGGCCCCGCATGCAATTTACACCCAGAGGGCAGGAAGGCGTGCGTGGCAACCTTGGGACAGGGAGAAGCGAGCAGGGACAAGCGGCCACTGGACAGGAGGGCTGGGGCAGGCCTGACACTGAGTGAGCCCGGGCCAAGGGCGACCACTACAAAAGGGCATCATTGGTAAATGTGGACGGTATCAGAACAGCGGAGAGAAAGCCGCAATCTTGCTTCTTCAGACAAGGAGCAGAGGACGAATTCCACCGCCCTGAGGCTTAGTCCAAAAACTTCCTGTTGGCGTTTGCACCAAACAAGGCTCCCCGAACCTCTGGCATCATCTGGGAAGAGAGAAGGCAATAAATAAGCTCCGCTGGGGAATCTGCCGAGCGCCGTGTGGGCAAATGCTGCCTGCACTCATCAGACGTAGGGTGAGAGAAACCTGCTGACCCCAGCCGGGCACTGAAGCGAAGAAAAGAATCCAAGGGACTGTCTCGGCCCTGCTACACAGTGACAGAGGGAGAAGAGACGAGGCCGGGAGCAGCACTCCCTCCTCGCAGGACCCTGCATTCCTACATCACCGAGTGCCTACTACTCGCCCTGGTGACCACACAGAACACACAGAATGTGTACAAAAGCACATGGTAACAATCCTTAGGAGGATTTTTTTTTTTTTTTTTTTGTCTTAGGAATTGAACTCAGGGCCTCACACTTCCTAGGCTGGCGCTGTGCCGCTAAGCTACATCCCCACCCCCTTAGGAGGATTTAACCTCAAACTTTTTCGCCTCCCTAGTATTGAGGAATTATACCCAGGGCCTTCCCACGTCCACAGTCCCTTTTAGATACATGTTTTTAAAATTTTATTTATTTATTGTGTGTGTGTGTGTGTGTGTGTGTGTGGCCAGCTCAGCTCACCTGGGGGCGGGGCTGCCTGGCATGTGGTGCTGGGGGATTGAACCGCGGTCCCTGTGCTTTGCTAAGCTTGTTCTAAGTAGGTGCATTAGACCACTGAGCCATCTCACCAGCCCCAACACAGCCCCTTTTAAAAAGTTGTTTTTTTGAGACAAGGTCTCATCGACTCCCTAATTTCCCAGGCTGACTTGAACATGGAAGGTATAGTGACCTGCTTAGTGACCCTCAAACTTTTAAGGCTCTCCTATGTCACATGGCAGCCACCAGCATCATGGAACAACTGCCCATCTGCAATGTGACGGGTGACACTGAGGAAATCTTAGCACAGCACTGAGTGCAGAACCCAGGGCTTGGGGCCCGCCGAGCAAGGCTCCATCACTAGCTAGCACCCAGCCCCAAGGTCAGAATTCTGATTGATTTAAATACCAGCAGCCGACTAAGGAGACAGCTCAGTGGCACCAGCCTGGCAAGAGTAAGTCTGCGAGTTCAATCCTGGTACCAAGAACAAAAACAGGGGCCGGGCAGATGGCTCAGTAGAATAGGCACTTCCCTGGCAAGTGCAAGGGTCTGAATTCAATCCCTGGTTCGGGGGGGGGGGAACACGACAAAAACACCCCACACATATTGGACTGGCGCACTTGACCGCACTGCTCAAAGATTCAGATTACCAGATGAAGATGCTCAGTGGCTTTGGTCACAGTGATCTGCGCCCGAGTCAGCAAGCAGCACAGGGGCGGCCGCGGCAGAGACCGCCAGTGCATGGTGCTGCCAGCACTGGAAGCAAGGGGCAGTCTGCGGGCCTCTTTCCTGGGGTTCGCTTGCTCAGTGTGGAAAGGTCTGAGGGTGAGGGCCCTGTAACAGTGCCCCCACACATGCCAGTTCCCAGCGGTCCGCTTCTGAAGATGAGCTGTATTTAGCGTTATTTTACTTGGCAGCCTTATTACTGTGTACAAACGGCATCCCCTAAGCATTCAATTACACCTTCGTTATGCAGTCCTTTGGTTAGTCACGCGTGGAGTGAGCAGCCCCGTCTGTAAGCGTAAGATCACTGAAGTGCGTGCTCTGCACTTTAAGATGCTATCTGTGTTGGGCTGGGGAGATAGCTAAGTAGAATAAGTGCTTGCCTGGCAAGTTCAAGGCCATGAGTTCAATCCCCAGTACCGCCAAAAAAAAAAAATTATAGAACACTTTATTTTTTTTTTTTTGAATTTGTTTTTTTCTTTAAGAATTATTTATTTATTTATTTATTCATTCATTCATTTTGTGTGTGTGGCCAGCTCAGCCCACCAGGGGGCGAGGCTGGCTGGCATGTGGTGCTGGGGGATTGAACCACGGTCCCTGTGTTTTGCTTAGCTTAGCTTGTTCTAAGTAGGTGCTTTAGACCACTGAGCCATCTCACCAGCCCCTATAGAACACTTTAAAAAAAAAAAAAAAATGCTATCTGTGAAATCAGAAAAGACCACAGCAGGCGCTGTGTACGGGACCCAAGTGGACACGGCTTGGCTGCAGTGGGTGCAGCCTCCAGAGGATGGCTGGTGGCCGGCTTCCGGCCCTGTGTAGTGGCAGGTCCCCTCCCTGACTGTCCTCCAGTTCTGCTGTCCACACTGGAGTCCCGGAGAGCAAGCGTGGGCTCAGACGCCGAACTCTTCACACAAATGCCCTCGGCTCAGTAAATACCACTGCAGAGCGGCCGGGGAGATGGCTCAATAAAATAAGTGCTGGTTCCACCAAAAGAAAAAAACGTAAATACCACTGCAGGCCTAATCCCCACCTCTTTCTAAAACTGTGGAGGGATAAACCCCAAGTCCCCACACAGGAACACATGTTCTCGAGCCACTTCACGGCTATCAGCCACGCGGGTGACAAGAAGCCTTCCCCACTCACCTGCTGGGCTATGAGATCCAGCCGGCTCTCCAGCGTGTTGGAAACTTTTATTTTACGGTCCCCATTATAGATCTCAACTCCACCAGCTCTGCAAGAGAAAATAACTTCAGAGTGAAGGAAGGCAAACACCTGCTATTTTTTAGGCACATGGAAGAAGCAACCTAATGTTTTTTTGTGACTGGCTCAGCCTTCCTTGGGGGCAGGGCTGGTCCAGCATACATGTCAGGGATTGAACTGGGGTCCCTACATGCTTGCCTAAGCAGGGACTTTAGACCATTGCACTATCTCACTGGCCTAACTTAAAATTCATTTTTTTTTTTTTTTAATATTTAGTACAGGGTCTACAGGGTCTCACTACACAGATCAGACTTGTAGTGATCCTTCCTGTTTTTTAGCCGAAGTGCTGGGATTACAGGTATGTACCACCATGGCCAGTCTAATTCACCACTCAGTGCGCCTCGGGGGCGGGGCCAGCACAGCAGGCCAGGGATTGAACCCCTGCGGCTGCCTAAGCAGGTGCTTTAATCTGCTGAGCTACTGGGCCAGCCCATAATTTTTTTTTTAAACTGGCCTCTTTTTTTAATTTATTTTATTTATTTATTTTTTAATTTTTTTTATTTATTTACGTGTGTGTGTGTGGCCAGCTC